ATACAGTGTGCTGTGTTTTAAATATTTCCTTGTTTTATGCACCCTTGTTTGTTAGCAGCTAAGAAGATACTTTCTGTGCCACATGTATTTTCTTCCTGGTGAATTTACATTGGGGCACACAGTGGCTTCTTGTGAAGAACCTTTTTTCACATGTGAAAAAAGCTGTACATATACTACATGTATTCTTAAACCCAGGATAATTTTGCAAGGGGTTATCATTCCAGTGCTGGTACATTTGTAATTCAGTAGGTACAACCTAGGATTTTATTTTATTTTTTGTGAAGGAGTATGACTGACTTAATTCACTTTGTGATTTACAAAAATTGATTTTTTTCTGTATTTATGTCACTGCCAACAGTAGAATTTATTTGTGTGGTAAGGCAGTCATCTGCGTTTGGGAATTCTTTCTTTGTCCTGTATTTGACTGTAGAAGAATAGGTTTTTTTGGAGTGCTCATCACTTCACTTCTTGTTTTCTCTAACCTCGCTCTTCTTGTTCTATGCTTTCATCTTTGTCTACTGTAGAAAATTCAGCTTGGGTGCTTCAGTCTGCCATGCCTCGCTTCCTAGTTAATGAATGCACAAGAAAGTGAGAATTACCAGAATTCATAGTGGGTGTCTGCACATCTCAGACATGGTGGTCACTGACCAGAATAAGGAACCACCAGCAAATCTTTTATATTTTTGCTGCTTTTTAAGAGTTTGAAAAAGCAATTAAGAGTTGAGCAATTAAGAGTATAATAATAATAAATTATTATTGTTTTGAGCAAAAAATTGCTTCCCTCCTTGTGTCCTCACTTTCTAAAGACCCATCCTCAAACATACATTCCTCAGTTTAATTCCCTCCCTTTTGTGCTTTCCTCTCATGCTTTTAGGACTCTGCCTTGTTTCTTTCTCAACACGACACCCTCATGAAAAAGAAGGAATTCAATTTGGTTGCTGCAGCATTGCTTCCATATGTGCCATTAGCCCAGAGCTGGTATGTGATGGCTGTGGGTTGAGAGGTCAAATGTGGTGCAAACCCCAACGTTTTTGTCAGTCCTTCAGTCTGCTTGCACCAAACGCTGGTGAATCTTAAGGTTTCTAAGAAGTCTTAAGGGCATTAATGTCAAGCTGTTTTGAAGTGTAACTATTTCAGTAGTTGATTTTTTTAAGGCAGATCTTCTGATTGCATGATATAACTTATTCTTACTTTTTTTGTAATGTTTGTCAATATTTTTGCCATATAATAACCCACTTTATTATGAGTATGTGTCCACAGCAGATGAGCAGAATTGCTGAAACTTTGTTTGATGTTGTGCTCCAGACAGTTATTACTCTAAAGGAAATAACCAGTTGTTATGTCTTGAGAACAAAAGAAAATACAGGATTGTGAACAAAGTGAGAACTCTTACTGGACAAAAACTAGAGGTGTGTAGTATCACTTTTTAGTAGAATGGTTTGTGGAGTTGCTTTGGCTACCTTTTTTTTTTTTTTTTACGTGTTTTAGTATGTATTTTGCATTGTCATTTAATGCAGAATTTGTAAAAATGTTTTCCAAGACCAAACAGTGTGGATAACATAACTATTTAAAAAGGAGTGAATTAAAGACCTGTAGTGGGCCTGTTCTGTGTATTGCCTGTCAGAACACAGCACAACTTTGTAGCAGTTCCTTCTTGATTTTTGAATAGTAAGAAAAAGTCAAGAAATTCAGCTTAAGAAATGTATGTGGCAGCTCACACAATGTTATTTTTGCTCTGCAGTATGCACTGCGGTGCACTTCGGGGTCTCTTTGAGTATAAACTGCAGTGTTCTTTAATCTTTTAGGAAGCTGCTACACAACTTCTCATTGCTCAAGAGGTATGTTTGCACTACTAAGAATGTTCCTGCCAATGCCACTGAAGGGCATATAAACCTGCAAACAAAAAAACCTCAGCTATATCAAGTCCTGCTCTAGTAAAGGGTAAAAATATCACCAGGCGGCAGTAAGGTAATCCATACGGAATTATTTTAAAATGTTAAGTGGTTACTAAGTCTTGAACATAATTTAAAATGTCAAAGATTCAGTTGTAATTTTCAGCTCTAAGTAATCTCAACACTTATGTGCTCTTAATATGGAGCTTTCCCTGCTATAGGTCAAAAATTTGTGCAGATTTAATGCTCTCTAGTTCTTTTATAGCGGGTTAAAATTCATTTGAATAAGTGGCACAAGGATTGTTTTCCTGTTTTTTAAGGTAACATGGAAGAAGTTGGTCACTTATAATTGCACATGGTAGGATACTCTTAATCTCTTGCTGAGTGTGTGCCTTGCCTGTATTGTATTTGATACTCAGTTGTTTTAATGCTCAGTGCTTTGTTTGCTTTAAGTTCAAAAATTGCAGTGAGAGGGGGAATGTGCCACATTTGTGCTTTTCTTTGTCTAGAAATTAGGAATGCTGATAAGATACTCAGTGGGACTGAAGCACAGTCCTTTGAACAGCAGGATGTCCCCAAGCACCATTGAGTTCTTGTTGCCTGGTGAGCTTGTAGATACTGCTCCTGCTGTCCTTGAGCCCTTCTTCCCTCTACAGCAGTTTTTCTGTTCTCAGTCTCATGTTGTATTTCCATTGCACTGTGGTCAGAGTGCAACTCAGTGCCATCTTTGGCAGCAATGTCATAAGTTGTTGGCCTTTTGGTTTAGAGAACTGAAGTGGAAGCATGTTTGAAAGCAATAATTACGTGTACTGGAAAACAATGCTTGTGGTCATTCCTTCTGAATGAGGCCGGGGAGAATGGTCTGTCTAGAAGGCAGCTTGTGCTGTCAGCACCCCAGAACTGACCTTACTCCAGAAAAACTGTCGAAAATGCATATCTCTGCTTTTGGAGATACAATAGCCTCAAGATAAACATACTATGTTTTACCATATACCTCTCTTTTAAATGATTTATGTCTTCCCTGATACTGGAAGAACTTTGATGAAAGACAGTAGTATTTTGCAGTAGTAGTCATGAGTTAATTTTTGGTCAACTTACCTGGGGGACACAAGTGACAAAGTTAATCTTCATGTTTCTAGATCAAAGTGACATAAATGTTAAGAACTCTTACATGCTGCTTTCCTTCTTTTGCTTTTGTAATTTTTCTAATGCAACATTTAACCAGATTGTTCAAGAAAATGCATATCACGAAGTTTATAAACTCTGCATTTTGCAGAATTTGAATTTGGTATATTATTGCAGCTTTCTAGCAAAAAAACTTAGCTTTCCAGCTTGTTGTGTGTGTACTTCTAGTGTAGTACTTATTACACATCCTTGAACAGTTCTCATCATTGAAACATTACTCCAACAGAACTTGTTCCTAAATAAAACCAAGAAGTAATATTCAATTGGAGAGTGGGGGCAAAAGCTATGAGGTCAAAGTAAGTTTTCTTAATATGATATTCCATGAAAGGGACAGCAATAATAAATGATTAGCTTAGATAGTAAAACTATGCAAAAGTAAAAGAGGTATGTCCTTCCTTAATCATAAAGTTACTGTTTATATGAAATGAATGTGGTAGTTAACATGAACAAGTTTAGAGGACTGATCTTACATTGCTAAATACACATCTCTAACATATTTGTTCAAAAATTATATTCATGAAAGTTCTGACCATAACATCAAATGAACTATTTAACTACACCAGCACCCTGACTTTGAATTGAAATTTTGCAACATCCAAAGCAGGCAGGCATCCTGTTTTTGGCAGGCAGTCATTTCTACATATTCTGTACATATCCCTGTAAGTGTACATTAAAAAACTAATCACCGTGTTGCTTTAGTCATAACTGCTAATTAAAGGAAGGATTGGAAATTTAGGCCTATTTATGATATGTTGTAAGAGGAAACAGCTGATAACTGGTTTCCTTCACCAGCTAAAAGAACTGTGGTTCATTATGTAAGTAGTGGTGTGCATGTAATATTTAGTGAAATATTTCAAAATTTGTCTCTTCAATATTTTGTAATCTGTACTTCTCAACTGGGATGATGACCCAGTTCTCAGCTGGGGGAGCGCAAGTTCTTGAAAGGAAATGTATATCTTGTGTATTAAATTAATTTTCAGTAATAAATGCTTTTTTTGGTGTATTTGTTAGCATAATTGATCTGTCTGCAAAGTGTCCTTGCAGTATTAATTTTTTGTGTATAATTAAGGGAATTGCTCATTTCTGGTTCCCACGGTGCAAATGATGCATTTAAATGTGCTTGTGATTCAAATCTTGAGCCTTCTGAATTGTTGTTTGTATAGATTTACAGGATGTGATGATGTGATGTCAGGACGTGACCTCTTCAGTTAAACCCAAATTTATATGCTTTTATTAAAATCTGGCTATTCACATCTTCAATCTCACGCTGAACTGGACAATAACGTTTGCTAATAGACAAAGGACAGGCTATATACCTAATACCTAATTCAACACACAAAAATGCAGCTGTGTGACTAAACTGATCTAGTATTTTATCCCAATAGCTTTTTTGCAAGTTTCAAACTTTGATCAAAATAAACCTTGTATTTATGGAGAATAGTTTTCAGCAGTTACAGAAGATGTTCCTATTTGATGACATGAATTTAAATACAGCAGTAAGATAGCTGCCAGCTTAGAACTGAATGCAAAGCTAAGTTTTGATCAAAAGTTCACCTACACAAGTGTTCCATTCTGGCACCCTGGCTCTGCCAGAGCAGTGTTTAGGAGACAGCAGAGAAGCACACCATACCCTCGCTGTGTGTTTCCTAGTTAATTTAGAAACTTGAGTGTGAGGCACACAACTATCTTGCTGCAGACATCTCTTTCTCTAATAAAGAATTAGAGACTGAGCCTGTGCTGCAGCTTTCTCAATCTAGTCCTTCTACTATGTTCTCAAAATAAAATTAAGTAGAAAATTGTCCAAAGAAACCACTTCCCCCAAAAACCACACACACACACACACACACACACACACACACACAAACAGCAACCAACCAAACAAAAAAAACCCCTCAGCACTGACATTACTGTCACAGGCAGCTATTTTTGAACAGCTTACTCAGTTTTATTATTCAGTTTTTTTAAAGCCACAACACACGGTTTTACTTAAGCTTAGAAGCCCAGTAATGCTCAAGGAGTACAGCGCAGATGTCAGGCTTAAATACATGTTTAGATTTTTACCTCTTGGCTTCCTGAAATCTACTGCTATGTTTCATAACAAAAGTACAGTAATCACTGTTAAAATTGCTTATTGAAACCTATGGCTGTAGATAAGGTAATTGTTTCTTGAGCTGAAGCTGAATATACGCAGGTTCTGGCACATTGCGTGTCTTGTAATGTATTCCAATCAGCTTCAGCTGTTAGGCATTGGTAGGTTTTGCAGAGTGGCTATAGCTTCTTATTCATTTGAAGGTGCTCCTATGCTTGTCAGATGTATCTCTGAAGGAGAAAGAAAAAAAGTTTAAGTCCTGCTGTATTATTTCTAATTACTGTACAATTGAATGTACATGAATTGATGGATTGTAATTGAAACAGTAGCAATTGCCCTACAGCAATAAGGTAATACTAAGCTTTACCAAAGATGGTCCAAATTTCCCTTGTCTGGCACGCCCTTGTTCCAGTTGCTGGATGCTGGAGGCTGCCAGGTTTTGGTAGCCTCAAACCTTTGAGCCTGTCTCTGGTCTGCACAGTGACTATTACTTGTTTCCTACAGTAAGCATTGCAGCTTTCTAGCTTTCTTTTTTAAACAGTATAGACTACTGTAAGTCCAGTCAGGTGCTACTTATTTGGAAGAGAGTATGTAGTAAAAATACTATTATATGAGCAAAAATCTAATGTTGAATTTTATTGGGCCTACAGTTCTGACACACCCTTCAGTACCTAACAGAATTGTCATTTTCTCTGGATAATGCATTGGCGATGAGAAACCCAGAAGGGAAAAAAATAATTAAAAAAAAAATATTATGATGGTTTATTTAATATAGCTGACTGTAACTACTTGATACTATGTTTTAAAGCTGATTCAGATCTTCTAAAAGATTGATTTAATAGATTAAATAGCAGGTTTGAATCATTTACTAGACCATAACAGATGCTTAAATTGCACTGTTGGCAGTGTAAGAGTGTAAGTAGAATGACTAGAGAGTCCAAATTTAGAAACATAGCACAACACATTAAATAGAAGGAATTAAAGAAAGGTATCTTACGCAGTCTTATCATAGCTCTAGCTTTCACTTTAACTGCCTCTCAAGTCTTTTTTTTTTTTTTTTTTTTTTTTTTTGAGCTATTTAGAAATAAAAGGAAGATTGTCTACCAGAGAAAAAGGTGAACTGCCAGAACAAGAATGGAGATTCAGCAGAGACAAGGATCATTATCAGACAAAGGAAGAAGATTACATGTCTTGAAATGGGAGAGTGTTATAAATATGAAAAAGGTATAAGTAAATAACAAATCTAAAAGAACTTAGTCATTAAAAGAACAAATTCTTTTGAATTGACTAAAAAAATCTTTTGAATTGACTAAAACCACCATTAAGTTTTGAAAAAAATTTCACAAGAGTTATATATAGCCAATCTATAGTGGCATCTGAAAGCGTCCATCCTTAATTGCCCTGTGGTGCCAACTCTTCTCTTCAGTAAAAGTTTGTTTCCACTTGGTGTCATCTTCATCCTTCCTCTGAGTTGAGCAGCAGCAGCCTGTAATGTTAGAACTAGAAAACTCTCGCCCAGATCACCACTTGACAGTAAAGAATTGCACAGTGATTAACTTAAATCTACCTAGGATGAGTTATTATAAAAGTTCCTCTCTTCCATTTTGTGTGAGAATTCAATCAGAGAAGACTACTGCTATAGCTATACAGGCATCAGACTTGTGGTATTGTCCTGGAAAATCACACTTGACCCTGGAGGTAAGCACTTAAAGCACCAATCTATTTCCACAAAGTTGGGTGACACGTTGGGGAAAAAACACAGTTTGCTTTGTCTCAGTCCCTCTAGGCCCTGCATTTCTTAGGTCCTGGCCTTCTCATAAGACCAATCCCTGTGAGTGTGTCCTATGACATGCATGCGTCCTATGACTTCTGAAGCAAGGCAGCGCACCAGTTGAGAGGGGGCTCTGTTGAGCAAAATCAGTAGTTCATGTTTAGTAGTCAAGTTATTTCTCAAAGCATCTTCTGATTTGTTAACTATAAATTGCAATTTTAGCTAATAAGCATATGCAGTGACACTTGGCATTACACTAGAGATGGTGGTCAGCTAGACCAACCTGCTTTAAATGTGATGATTTCAAAGCTTTCTCAGCTGATAGCTGACCACCATTCTAGTCAAAAAGATCAAATTTTAACCTTTCAGCATGAACACACTGTGTCTTTACAGTCAACCTGGTCTCCCACATAATAATCTGTTGTATCAATCATCTGACAGTACCAAGAGCTTGGCTCTGCTTTAGCTGTACTACCCTTCCAACAGCTGCAGGCTGCTCCTAGCTCTCTCCTTAGCTTCTTCCTTGCCAGACAGTGAGCTCAACTTTCTCACTGTTTCAGTTTATTTATCTTTTCAGGCTGTTCAATAGCTTTCATCTGCTTTTAATTGCACAGTGAATTGTTCTTTTAACTTCTTCCCAGTCTTCTCTTCTTTCTTTGTGTTCTTCAACATATCAAACATACAAATTACTTTAGTCTTCTGTATTATTATTCTTGCAAGATTTCCATTCTTGCCTTTCAGGTAGGACAACTGTAAAGAACAATTAAATGTTACCATAATGTTTTCTCACTAAAAATCCTAGAACCTCAACTATTTACTTCTTCATGTTGCTAAAACAACCTCTTTGCTTTTTTATAGGGATCACTAACTAGAATTAATCATTAAAAACAAGCACACAAAGAATACACATCTTTGGAGGTCAATGCAATATCACTGATTAATGCTTTTTTAATGCTGAAATAAGCAACTGAATCCACATGTAGCCAGTGTGTTTAAAAACTACCCTAGATGCTTATTTCACTCTAGATAGTGAAAGGAAGAATTGCTTTCTGGTAGTTGAATTTAGTATTTCTGTAGACGTTCCAAGAAAAAGGGAATATAAGCCCCATGGAAACACAGTGGATTTCAAATGCACGCAATCTACAGAACAGGGCTTTTGATTTTTTTTAAAGCTAAGTAGGAAATGAGGCTGCAATCCACCTTGCTTCTCGTTGCTGTGCAAGTAGACTAAAATCCATTTAACTCACCAGTTGCACATGGTAGTGAGCATTTGTAAATGTGAACTTGGGTATGCATTTGGAGCATAATCAAGCTCTGCAGACTTCAGCACAACTCTTACTGTAGTCAGTGCTTCTTCTCAAGGTTTCAGCTTCAAAAGGCTTTATTAAAAGTTTCCATTCTTTGCTGAAAAAAGCTTGAAGTAATAAAGAGAGCACTAGCTCAGAGAGAGGGGAAATAAATTTTTCATTAGTGAACTAAAAAAAAAAAAAAAAAAAAAGTATAAAAGGATTTAGAGACTATTTCAGAAACTAATTGCCATGCCTCTGTCATGCCTTTTTCCCCCAAAAGAAAAAGTTTATTTCCAAACAAGTCAATTATTCCAAGATAATTGAAAAGAACTCTATGGCTTAGCTGACAGTTCAGCAAGAATACATCTTTCTGTAGATGAGAAGCAAGTTTGAGATAGATCTCTTGGTTGTTCTGGTTGTTCCTACTTACTGTGCTTTTCATATTCCGGAGTAATGATAGACTGGAGCCTTTTGGATGAAAACTTAAGAAGGAAGATATGCTCCAAACAGTGTAATGGGGGTTGAGCCATGACCCCAGACTACTGCTGCTTTGGGCAAATGCCCCCCAAAATGCGTGCATCATGAATGTTACGCTCTCAGCAGCAGCTTCTTCATTCCACAACCAGCCCCTTTTGGGCTGCACTGACTAAAGTGGATACAAAGAATCAGCTGTACTTTGCCATGTCCTGCTGTCCAGAAACAGCTCAGCAGCCCATAGCAATACCTGGGATCATGTTCTGAGTCCTGGCTGGATTCTTGGACAGGGATTTGAAGGGCATGTAAGTTGCAACATTCCTGCCCAATTCCAAGAATTTGCTCAGTGTCTGATCAAGAAAGCAGCTCACATACATTTGTCAAGGAAGAATGTGGATAGTGCCACACAAGCTTTTTTTTTTTTTTTTTTTTAAAATATACTGAATAAATGAACATTTACAGTTAGCAAAAACTAATCTTCAGCTGATATTTTATGAATTCTTGATGGACACCTTCCATGTTCCTTTGTAATTTTCTGTTGCAGTAGTTTACCCACAAAGAGGTAGCTGAGTTCCAGCAGTATCCTATACTAATTTTGATTAAAAAACAAAAAAAAAAAAAAAAAAGAGGAATAAAACCTACTTAGGGGACCTAAATCCGAGCCTTGTTACCACCCTGGATGCTTGGAGGGGAGAATAAAAGTTACATGCATTTGCAACACATTAAGTTACTCACTGTCTTTATCTCTGAAATTTTTGCTCTTAATGAAAAGTGGCTTCTGTCTGAGCATCGTAGTCCAAATCCGCTTGTTTTTCTTGCTGTTTTTTTGCCTGTTTCTCTGCCTGAGAAACAGAGAATTACAAAGCTTAGTATTTATTTTACAACATAATTAGCTTAAGACCTTTTGCACCTATGTTCAGAATTCTTATCCCATTCATCTTACAAGTTATGAAAAAAGTGCAATAGTGAATTTTTAGAAAAACCGACTTGACCTGCACAACACTCTTTGAGAAGAGAAACTTTGTGTGAGCGGCTCCCACACTGGGACACAGACATCACAAGAAACTGAATAATAAGGTCATTAGCTCAAGGGAAATTCAGTTGCAGAAAGGGGATCTCCATTCCTAAGTGGTGTCTCTTGAGGCCATATTTGCAGCACTGATCTCTTCGCTATCAATAGCCCTTCCTAGTAATCCTCCCTGACGAATACAGGCTGAGGAAGCCCAGAATAAATTTCAGTTCTACTCTAAGATGTGGCTGGTTCCCCAATCCCAACATCTGCAGCGCACCCAGATCACAAACAAAACACATCACACACAGCACGCCTCCTGTCCCTGCCCTGCAGACAGTATTTAGTGTTGTTGGTATATCTGCATGCTTCTTTCTGAAAGGGCTGGAAGGGTACCATGCTTCTATTTACCATTTGCTGGATTCGAAACTTCTGTAATTCTACATTTGCATCATGCTGTTTGTCTTTCTTAGCTTTTTCCATTTCCAGGTAGATACGATCATCTGTCATCCACTGACTGCGGTCCTTCACACCCTCTGCTTTTTCCTCTCTCTCCTTCTGCAATTTCATCTTTGCCTGCATTTTATAAAATAGAGGCAGTTAACTAAATAATCACCTTGCTAGTTTGAGGAGCCATGTCTTGCAATCAGCCACTCCAGGCCAGATCCAAAAGCAATAATGATGTAGCCCCACACCAGCACTCTAGTGTGCTGGATCATGGCAGATGCACTCTGGCCAGGCCCAGAGTTTCCAACAGCACCAACAGATGATCCCCAACTCCAGGTGGGAAAGAGGACCCAGAAAGATGGCACCAGCAACACAAGCTGTGATCTGGGCCAGGTTTCTCAGCTGCAGTAAGCACGGCTGAGACTGGAAAGTGTTTGCACGCATTACCAACAATTACAGAGCTTTCAAACTCAAAGGGATGAATCTGCATGCCACTTGCAGCTTGCTTAAGGTATTAGATGTATAACTGTAGATTGTGAATATGATGAAAACTGCTGAGAATACACATGTATGTTTCACTAACAGCACATTAAAAAACATGTTTCTATGTTCTCAGTACACACCAGAAAAAGGGACAAGAACAGATTAGGTTTTCTTACGTCAGTGGCTCTGTATTCAGCAATAGATTCAATGGCAGCCTTTTTTTTAGCTTCTTTCTCTTTGGTTTTCACTTGGTACTCATCTTCTACCTCTGCAGCTGCTCGATCAAGACGATCATCTTCCATCCTCAATGCCTTGTTCATCTGTGCAGTTAGTTTTTTACAAGCTCTGTCCTGATGCTCCTCAATTAGCCTGAAGCACAAAAAAAGCTACCATATCATACCGGAATATCTGATACATACTTATGCCTTCCAAGGCATTTATCAGAATAAAATCAGCAGTCCTACTTCTTGTATCTTGTAGGTCTTTTCCAACCTTGGTGGTTCCATGATTCCATTTTTCTCTCTTGCCACACAGACCCACCCATTCAGCTCCTTGAACTCCTTTTGCTAACACGGCAAATAAGCGCTCCCTATGTATATATTTATTGTCACGCTAGCTTTTTGTTGCAGTAATTAAATGGATCATACAGTTCACCTAGCACACTGCCAAAACAGGTCAATGCTGGGAGTACTGGCTGAAAGTAGGACGCAGAGGGAACTTGTTGCATTGGCTCAGAAATGTCATATGCTCACAATTAAGCAGGTAAACAATTCCTTTTGTTAGTGTAATAAATATGTTTCTTTATGTGTCTTAGAGAAAGAGACAACATGCTGATGCAGAGATCTGTGGTCTAGGCAACTTGAAGACTTGAGACCGCAGAGCACCAATTACTACTGAAACCAATAAGCATTTCTTCTGAATTTTCCACCTTTTTCCAAGTTTTAATTACTGAAAAGTGCTTGTATCACACACTTGATTTTGGTGGCATAAGAATTCAGAATAATGTTTGTCACAAAATTAAGTTGGAGCTTTGAAGAACACGAAGAACTCTAGCCCTCAACCTACCTGCTGGTCTCTGCATCTTTCTCTCTTCTCAGATCAGCCATCAGTTCTTTTTCTTTAACATAAGCCCTAATTTGATCATCCTCTTTGTCTTCTTTTTGTTTCTCTTCACTTTTAATTTGTTCTTGTTCAGCTACATGCTCCTGTTTAAATGGAAAATAACTTTTTTTTTAATGCAGAATGAGACTTCTGAAATATTTAATAGGAAAAGAAAAATCCAGTAGAGCCTTCACATCTAGTCCATAATTACAGCTCTTTGTAACAGTGGAGAAGGTATAGAACATAGGAACAGATGGAAGAGAACACTCAGGACCTAACTATCACAGACTACCATGGAAGTAAAGTTAGTATGCAGTCACAGTCCCCAGTACAATATCCTTCAGTTAAATTTTCCTCTGTTTTCTTACTGCCCACAAGAAAGGCACTGTGTCTGTTTGAAGGATACAAACAGTAACTCTGTAAAATTGTGAAAGTGTAAGGCACAAAGTATTTTGTAGTCACCTAGAAATGGCAATTAGTATATAATACTGTTCTCACACATGCAAGGTTGAAGGCAAATGGAGGACCAGAAGGAATATAGGAAGGAGGGGAAAAGGAAAACAGGGTTTCAGTGGAGTTCTCTCCTTGTACTGTCTCACTTGGCAATGAATCAATCCACCTCTGCCTCCTTGTTTAAGCAAGCACTGAGGTTCACGTAAGATGTGTGGAGGGGAGAACAGCAGGTATGTTAAGTAATTTTAATAGACTTTTTATAAGGGCATGTAGTGACAGAAGGGGAAACAATTTAAAACTGGAAGAGGGTAGATTCAGACGAGATATTAGGAAGAAATTATTTACTGTGAGGGTGGTGAGACACTGAAACAGGTTGCCCAGAGAGGCTGTGAATGCCCCCTCACTGGAAGCAGTCAAGGCCAGGCTGGATGGGGCTTTGAGCAATCTGGTCTGGAGGGAGGTGCATCTGCCTATAGCAGGGTGGTTGAAACTAGAAGATCTTCAGGGTCCCTTCCAACCATTGTATGATTTCCTAAACAATTCTAGTCACAAGGGGAAAGACAACTTATAAAGGTATTTTCACGTTCACAGACCCAGCCTACTCCCCTCTTTGTAAGAAAGAGCAACAGGCTTAAAACAGGCTTAAATCCAGTTCTAAAGTCAGGGCTATTCTTCAGTGCTTACACGAGTGTTTTCCATTACAGACCAGTCAAAACTCTGGGTGTCACACTGCAGCTTTCAAGGGGCCCTTCTCAAAAGAGGACAGGAACAACACTGCCTGCAACTGGCAAGGCAGAGGAGTATGACCCAGCATTACTGAAGCTATCAGCAAACCTGCTGCCAAGAGACCCATTTATTCACGGTCCTAATGCAAGTGCTTCATGGTGAAGCATGTAATGAACTCTCTCCTTCTGTTACTTACATGATACTGCCTCTGGCGTTCACATTTCTCCCCCTGTTCCTTTTCTTTTCCTCTCTGAATTTCCAGTTGGTACAACTGGCTCAGCCTTTGTATTTTTTCACCTTCTCTTTTGTTTTCCTGCTTGACCAGGTCTGCCTGATGCTTGTGCTCCTCTATTCTGAAACAGAAAAGGAAGGAAATAGATGGCCCTGGGACTTCATGACATAGGGAACAGACTGGAATACCGCACATCTACAAGTACTTGAACACCAAACAATCTGATACTTCGAAGTGAAAGCAGAACATCAGATCAAAATAGAATCATGTTTTTTAAAACAGTAGTTACAAATCCATTGGCCAAAGCTGAGTTCCATCACATACAGTAAGTATAGGAATTTCCTGATTAAGTTAATACTAGCAAAAGCAAACATGACCTGCATATGGACTTGAATAACAGCCTGCATTTGAGTCACTTGTTTAACAGCCGGCCCGCTCCACGTACAAGTTCGGCTTTTGTCCGAGCGCAGCCTTCCGAGCAGCGCTACAGCGCGGGCGGAGGCACGGAACACTCATCAGCCCGTCCCTGTCAGACAGACCTATGAATCACTGCGGGGAAACGGCAAGAACGACAAGTTTTGCCCCAGGGAGGCAAGCCGCTTGCGTCAGCACCAGAACACAGCTCCCCTTGTTTAGCTCCCCACCAGCAAGACGCGTTTCTGAAGCCGCAGAACTGACTTCAAAAAGGCACGAGAGGCCGAGCAGCGCTTACGCGCCGGCCGCTTGGAGTGGACGCGGTCCCTCCGCCCAGCGCGGCACCGCCGTGCCGATGCCGAGCAGCCCAGGACACACTGGGCCCGCAGGCGCTGTGCTGACAGCCCCGGCAGGCTTTTCGACCCGAGCCCCGCTCCGGGAGCCGCGAGGTCCCGACTTACTGCGCCAGCTGCTCTCTGGCCACCGCCCGGCGCTCCATGTAGCGGCCGTGTTCCCGCTCCGCCTCCCGCTGCTCGGCGCCCGGCTTCTCGTGCTCCATCGGTAGCTTCCGCCGAGAGACAGAAAATCGGCTTTCCGGATCCCCACCGGCGGCGACCGCCGTCCCGGCACGCCCGCCCTCTTTGTTTCCAGAGCGGGAGCGCCTCAGCCCCGCGCGGCCCTGAGGCGGAGAGCGGCACTAGGAGCAGAGCAGCAGCGACAGGACAACAATAAGGAGGAGATGGGAACGCCCCGGCTCCGATGGCGGCTCGGCACGGCCCCGCCCCGGCGCGCTGCTGGCGGGCCCCAGGGGCGCGGGTGGCGGGAGCCGCCGTGCCGGGCCGCGGCGCCTTGACTGTGTACGCTGTGTCCCTGCACGGCGGGCCTCGGCTGCGCGGGAGCGGAGCTACTGCGTTCGACTTCCCTTCTCCTGCCTGGAAGACGCTCCTCGAAGGGGCAGTTGCTGCCGTTCGGAAGGAACGCGCCCACTCGCTACACAGCAGAGATAAGGGGAGCTGTGGTCGCGCGGGGGGCCGCCCTCTGGCGTCAGGCCCTGTGCTGTATGTCAGAGCCTTTTGCTATCAGGAGCCATGCTCAGAATGTTGATGGCACAAAGACCCGTTTTCCAAATATTACCAATCATCCTTTTTGTGAAACTTCCTAACTTTCTTAGCACTTGTGTTAACTAATGCCCTAGCTGAGAGAGATGGGCAGCTCGGGGTTGGAACAGGAAGATGTGTGCAGCTAAGCTAAGCTTCCGGTTCCTTGGGCTGTAGTTCTGATGGACCCCAAAGTGGGAATGTCCTGCTCAGAGCTCAGAATATTGCAGAGGAAGTTACACGAAATTCTAACTCTGTCCATGTCACATGAAACACGATGGAAACATTTCAGCAAAGAGACAGATCTCAAGGACTGAGATGTATGTGTGGCTTTGTGCAACAGAGTAAGCTCCAAAGAGTTCTGTGCTTCCTGAGAAACAATTTTAGATCTGAATTTGCCTACTGCAGAATGCATGTTATTCTTTTTGCAAGAACCACCAAACTGTGTTGTTTCTTACTGCCGTGGTATTTTTGTCATAGCTATTTACAGCTACATTGGGACTTACTTGCCTTTTGGATAAGCACATTTGTCTGTGAGCAGCTTACATCCTTACTTCTATGTAACTAATTTACAGCAAAGCATTAATTTTATAGAGACAGTTGCAAAGTGCTACAGAAACTGCAGTAACGTAAGTACTCTGACTTTTGTGTGCATTCCTGCCCTGTAAATTCTGTGTTTTTGTTTTGTTTTGTTTTGTTTTGTTTTTTGGTTATGGAGAATACTGAATAGTGAATAGGCTAGTGAGCACTGTAACTTTTTGCAGCTTTTTTTAGTGTTGGGAATCTGTATCACACACATATATCCTGCAGAACTGAAAAACATGGGACAATGCATTTCTAGAAAAATAATGAAAAAGGAACAGTAGTAGCGAGCCTTTGGCTGGAATGGCTAATGTTGATGGTCAAAATTATACATAATGCATTCTTATAGCCCGTTATTATATGAAACCATAACTGTTCACATCGCGTAAAATGTGATGGAAACATTTCAGCAAAGGAACAGCTTACAACTTCCATAAAATACAAGTTGGTGTTTTTTTAGAACATAATCAATTCCATGGATTTTTTCAGATGGACTTTCAGATTCATAACATATATTTAATGTTGATCCATTTATAGTTTTGACTGAAGATTCAAGGTTCAAGAAGTTGGAGTTTTGTTTGGTTGGTTGGCTTTTAACCACTTAAGTTCTTCAGCAGTAGCACTGCTACAACAAGGTAATTGGGTCTCAGCAACATCCTGTGCTTGAAAACCAGGATTTGTTCCTTCACTTCCTCTGGAAAATGGGCCACTTCCAAGTCCTCTTATTTCTTTGGAGGCTTTCAGGAGAGGATAGAGATGATGTGTCGTCATGGATTCTGATTCAATTACTTGCTTTGCATACTTCTGAAATTCATGTTCTTTATGGAGCGCAATAAGCTCATTGTGAGCATTGTAGTCCAAGTCTGCTTGCTTCTCCTGCTGTTCTTTTGCCTTCTTTTCTGCCTGAGGAAGAAAAAGAAATAAAAAAGGGAATAACAAAGCTTAGTATTTTTTTCACAACATAATTGTCTGTTAAAATTTAGAGAGGGTAAGCTTACAGGAGATTGGAGGTGACGTTACCATGCTTGTCAGATATCACTCCTCCCCAGTTCATTCCCAGCTCACCCCACCATAGGAAAGTGTACACTGAATAGCTGAATAAACGTCAGCATTCACTGCTGTTCCTTGGGGATCTGCCCAGAAGATACAAGGAGACAGCAGCCATACATAACAACACAGGACAGGAAGTGATGTGTCACTGCAAACCAGCTTTCACTCATGCACCACTCCTTGACAGGAAAGGGTTTGTATGGGTGACTCCCACACTGACTAGCACTGTCAGTTAGGTTCATGCTCCTTTTTGAAGGTGCTGGAAGGGTATGACACTTCCATTTACCATTTGCTGGATCTGAATTTTCTGTACTTCTATGTTTGCATCACGTTGTCTTTGTTTCTTGGTTTTTTCTGTTTCCAGATAGATCTGATTCTTTTCCACTAATGCTTTAAGTTCTTTTTTACTTTCTGCTTTTTCCTCTCTCTCCTTTTCCAATTTCATCTTGACCTGCATTTTATAAAATAGAAGGAGTTAACCAGTTACCCTGCTAGTTTGAGGAGCCAAGCCTTTCAATCAGCCATTCTCCAGGCCAGATCCCGAAGCAATAACAATGCAGTCTCACACCAGTGCTCTGATGTGCTGGATGATGGCAGCTGCGCTCTGTCCAGGTGCAGTTTCTGGCAGCACTGACAGGCTCCTCAGCTGCAGGAAGCTGGGCTGAGACTGAGAAGTGTTTGCACAAATTACTAACAATTACAGAGCTTTCAAACTCGAACGGATGAACTCAGGTACCTTGTGGCTTGCTTAAGGTGTTAGATGTGTAACTGTAAATTGTAAATATGCAAGGCAGCCACTGAGAACTTGTGGGTATGTCTCACTAACAGTTAGCATACTAAAAACCACAGTATTCCTAGAAGATATTCCTACATACATGCCACAAAGAGGGAGGAGAACAGGTTACATTTCTTACCACAGTGGCTCTGTGTTCAGCAATAGACTCAATGGCAGCCTTTTTTTTTGCTTCCTTCTCTTTCTGTTCTTTTTCTTGTGCAGCTTCTTTTTTTGCAATGTCTCTAGCAATACGCTCATCTTCCATCTTCATTACTTCGCTCATTTGGGCAGCTAATTGCTCAACAATTTTATCCCGGTGTTCCTGTGTTATTCTGCAGAGGAACATAAGTATTCATAACATATGCACCCAGTCTACACGAAGCATTGCTTCTACCAAACCCCACCCATTCCACTTCTTCATCTCCTTGTATTTCTCCTGTCGTGTTTTTTTAAATTATCTGATTTAGCAAGTAAGTGTTCCCCATAATTTTGTAACACGATTTTTTGTTGCAGTGAAATGCTGTATCATTCGGAGTCTGCCTGGAATCTTGCTATTAGGAGGGACTAGTAGAAAGTATTGGCCAGAAATAGGAACAGTTAGATTCATATCACTGGTATATTCATGCTGTACTTTCAGTGTTAAATAGGTAGACCTTGCTAATAGCATTATTAATAAAGTAATTTAATTAATTAATATAGGTGCCTTGTTAAGAAGTAGAACTGCTTTTCTTGATCTATCTCAGAGAAGTATAGCTTATGCCCCAAAATACTTTTAACTATGATTCTAGTTGTCTTTAATTGCTGAGAGGGTGGAGGCTTGTCAGGACATGTAGAAAATCACTGTTCCCAACACACTGGAGTAGAACTTTGCACTTTTGTAAATCTTTGTGCTTTGAGGAGTGAGGAGATCTATTACTAATTATGCTGTGAAAGAACTTCCTTTTTGTCCTGAATTCTCTGTATCCCATTGAGTAGAATTTAATTACAGAATAGTTGTGGGTTTTGTTATGTCATCAGTCTGAAATATTTGAATAAGAAAAGTGTGCAGTTTAGATACATTTTATAAGCTAGCTTTGAACCTACCTGCGCATTTCAGCTTCTTTCTTTTTCATCAGCTTGGCAATAGTTTGCTTTGCTTTGAAATGAGCTCTAATCCGATCGTCTTCTTCCATTTGCTTTTGTTCCTCCACTGCTTTGATAATTTTCTGGTTAGCTACATGTTCCTGCATAGGCAAAATGATCCTGATATAATATGAAATTTAGAAAATCTAGGCCTGGATTAGCAACTCCCTTTCTTCATGTTTCTTTCAAAGAGAATGGAGAGGAAAGGGATTCTTATTGCTTCTTCATCTGGTTTGAGCATGCATGAAGGGGAGGTGGTAGAAGAGAAAGAAGGGGAATCAAGCATCAGACATGGGTTGAAGCTGCTTCTGCCAACCCATTACTGTGCAAAGCAGGGAGCATTATCCCTTGCTCCCATCCACACACATGGGAGAAGGGAATGCTGAAAGGAACGGGACTGTGCAAACCCCTCCAATTATTTTCATATTCACAAACTGTAATTATTCCCCTTTCCTATCAAAGAAAAATGGGCATAAAACTGGGCAGGTACATGGTACATGGCATACTGAAGCTATCAGCAAACCTCCTGTTGCCAGTAGGCACGTTAAGCTATATTAATTAACATTACTGTTTCACTCCAGACAGCCAAAACAAAGTGAACATTTTGAACTCTTTGCTTTCCTGTTACTTACATGATACAACCTCTGGCGTTCAACTTTTTCCTCCTGTTCCTTTTCCATCTTTCTCAGAAGTTCTAATTGGTACAATTGGCTCAGTCTCTGTATTTCTTCTCCTTCTCTTTTGTCTTCTAGCTTGGCAAGATCTGCTTGATGCTTGTGCTCCTTTATTCTGAAACAAAAAAAGTGGAATTTAAGGGTTAAGGGGCAATACGAAGTAATGAACAGATAGGGATTCTGCATGTCTACAGCTACTTTAACACTTAAATATCTGGTATTTTGAAGAGAAGGTGGGTAGAATGTCTGAGGTAAAAACCAGCATCATTGTAGAGGTAGCTCTTCAGTAATCTGACCAGAAATTAGCTACATAGTATATGCAGATATACTGCAGATGGCTGGTAACAAGATTGAGCTGGACAACCCATGAGCACCTCTGCATCCATTACATTTTGCCATATCTCTGCAGCAGCTTCAGTGAGCAAGATTTCCCCAGTAAGTCCCACCATACCCACATTTCTCTGTGTGGACACGCAGGCAACAGCTTATACCAGTGGTATTCTTCCAGACCTAGGATTCTTGAGACCAGACTTTAAACCTACCACCTGCATCAGGGAATTTGATTCCTTCTGTCAGCCACCAGTTCTGTAATTGTCACCTGCATTGGTGACTCCCCCATAAATGCTTGGGAATAGCTGAAAGAGTGGAGGTAGCAGTGATGAGTTCTCTAGATGCATTATCTGGTAGCTGATTATGGCCAATGCAACAGTCTGATTTAATTTCTTCTTTTTCTGGAATCAAAATTGATTTAGAATATACTGTCAGGAACAAAATTGAAATAGTGATGTGGTTAAAACCTATTGCTGCCTACTGGAAGTGATTTCACATGCAGACTGTTGGCAACTTTACCACACTGCTTCTCCTTCTTGTGCAAGGTCTTTTGTTTGGATTATTCTTTTTAAAATGTCACATTTCTGAGACAAATGATTATTAACTCTCTGTAGAAACCTTGTAGAGTGTATTTGTGAGAAGAGAGTCTAAATAATTAATCCAAAACAATCCTACTTTACTGTTACTTACTGTTCCAGCTGATCTCTGCACAGTGCCAGTCGATTCATATAACGTTGATGTACCTTTTCTTCCTCTCTGAGAATAGCTTCTTTACATTTACGTTCTATTTCTTCTTCCTTCTTTTTGTTAACATCTGACTTTAACTTCTTAAATTCAATTTGAGCATCCCTTTCCTTTAGGACCTCAGCAAGTAGAAGGGCACTCTGCAAGAGAACAATTTTAGTAATTTGCATGTCCAAAGTGTTTAAAGAAACTCAATATGATTTGAATGGAAAAACTGTAAATTGTCAACAGACATGCAACCCTTTCACTCTTTCGTTCTGGTGGTACAGATAAGCTTTTGCTTTATTGATGGTCTCCTTCCATTTTGCTGCTTGGAATTCTGCTTCTTCCAAATCAAGTAACTTTCTTTCTTCCTCTTGCTTTTCTTCACGTAGTTTTTTGGCTTTCAGTTTTCTTTGTGCCTGGCCCTACAATGCAGGTAAAAATTCACCTTCTTATAAACCACATTTAAAAATTGTGGATTAAATATAAACCATTCTGAAGATAGCACACTCCATGATTTTTTTTTTTTTTTCTCTTGCATTTCAGGTTTGGCAATTAAACTATTTATGCAGAGCTTAGTTAAAATAGATGTTTAAAAGCAAATGTTAAACTCAGGGATTACACCTGTAAATACTATTGCGTTTGAGAGTCACAGAATCACAATGCACAGAGCAGAGGGGCAAATCACCTCCCTCACCCTGCTGGCCATGATTTTCTTGATGCAGCCTGGGATACAGTGGGCTTTCTGGGCCATGATAGCACATTGCTGGCTTGTGCCCTGCTTGCCATCCACCAGTACCCGCAAGTCCTTTTCAGCAGAGCTGTGCTCTGTCCTTACGTCCCCCACCTTGCATTGTTAATGGGGGTTGCTACAACCCCTGTGTGAGACCTTGCACTTGGATTTGTTGAACCTCACGAGGTCTGTCTGGGCCCTTTGCTCCAGCCTATGTCTCTCTGGATGGCATCCCGTCCCTTGGGCACACTGATTACACCACACAGCTTGGCTCTTCTCTTTTTGGGTACATGAAAACAACTTGCCTAGTCTAGAAACGCACGCAGTGCTTACCATAATGGTGTTCGTCCAGTCTTTGACAGCTGCTTTGGAGCGTAAGTGCATTTCTTGTCGTTCTTTTTGCTCCGCGAGGATGCGTGCTGCCTCTCTGCTCATGCTGCCGAGGCCATCCTGCATCCTTTCCCACTCTGCTCTTGGCAATACAATTACTTGACAGAGATCTACTTCGTTTGGAAGAAAACATCCATCTAGAATGTTATTTGCTTCAAATCCGTGTGATGCTGCATAGAGGGGGGAATAAAAGTACTGATGTTATTTGGAGTCAGAAAATCCTGAATTCAAACCTGTGTCAGCGTTTGAATTCGTGCACGGTAGCGACAGCAAGCGCTCTTCACGGTCGCTCTCCCCACCTCGGCACCCTGGAGCCAGCACAGAGCGCCTGGTCTAGCGTTCTGACCATAGAGCTGTTGGTGCTCAGGCTGCGGCACTGCTCACGCGTCCCACGGCCGTCTATGTGCGCAGGTTTGACCTGTGGTACCTGGCAGTTTGGGACGGCCCTTGGACGTGGGTCAGAGAGCAGCCGGGACCGGACAGCGCTCCGGGGAGGGAGGGAGGAACTCCGGGGAGGCTGTAAGGCACGGTGCGCATCGGCTGTGCCTTGCCGCCCTCGTCCCGTGCGTTCGTACGTCCTAAGGACGCGGGTGGGAGGCGCCCGCCGGGGACACCCCCAGGGTCACGGGGAGCGGCTCTGCCCGCACCCGCGAGGCTCCACTCACGCGCCAGCCGCCGCCTCCGGCGCGTCAGCCTCGTCCCCGCCGCCATGGCCGACGGCCGCGGCGCCGTGTGTGCGCCACGTTGCCGGGGCAACCCCGCCGGGGCCACGTGATGGTGGGGAGCGGAGGCGGGCGGCGCGAGGCGGAAGTGGCGATCGGTGCTGCCGGCGGTGCCGCTCCCGGCTCTCGGCGTCCTGTCGTCCTGCGGGCCCCCGGGCGCCGCCGCCGTTTTCGGCCCTGGCACGGCGGCAGGCAGGGGCTCGGTGAGGCCCGTGAGGTGCGTCCTGCCGGGGCGCGGAGCTGTCGCGGGGGCTGCGCGGGCTGAGGAAGTGCTCTGCAGCCCGGACCCGCGAGCGGCAGTGCTTTTTCACGGCCGCGGTTCCTTGCGTTTGGCGTGTCCTCGCCGCCCGCTGCTCGGTGTTTCGCTCGCCAAATGTCTCCGAACTCTGTGGCGCCATCTGAGTGTCCCTCTAGGTGCTGGAGAATCCCGGTTTGTGTGCCCTGGGAGTGCTGGCGGGGAAGTGTGCAACCGCTGCTGCGGTGCGAGGCCCGCGGCTGGAGCTGCAGTTACCGCTGGACGCAGTCCGGGGCTGCGGCGGGCGGAGGTTTGGCACGGGCTGCAGCTCTGACCTTCCCACACTGCTGTTTTTAGCCTCAGCGTTACTTTTCCCATAGTTGTAGTGGCCATAAATAGCTTTTTCTGTTCAGATATTTGTCTTTCTTACATGTTGTTTTTTTTTTTTCTCCTGAGCGCAGAACCGGGGTAACATTTCTGTAGTTTCATTTATGTAAATATTTTTTTCCTCTGTTTGTTTGTTTTGGGACCCATTCATGAACAGCTATGAAATTTCTGTTGGTTTTTGATTTTGACCATACAATCGTAGATGAAAATAGCGACACCTGGATTGTGAGATGTGCCCCTGACAAAAAGCTTCCCAATGAGTTACGGAACTCCTACCGGCCAGGACACTGGACAGAATACATGGGCAGAGTCTTTGTCTACTTGGGGGACAGTGGCGTCCGAGAAGATGACATGAAAAGAACCATGACAACAATTCCTTTCACTGCAGGCATGGTCGATCTTCTGGGGTTTATTGGCAAGAACAAAGAGTTTTTTGACTGCATCATTGTTTCAGATTCTAACACAGTATTTATTGACTGGATTTTAAAAGCTGCTGATTTCCATGAGGTGTTTGATGAAGTGTTTACAAACCCAGCAGTGTTCAGCAGTACTGGCTACCTGACCGTGCAGAACTTTCATGCCCACCATTGTCCAAAGTGCCCTAAAAACCTTTGCAAAAGGACAGTTTTAAAAGAGTTTCTAGATAAACAGGTGGAGAGAGGAGTGAGTTATACGCAGATAACCTATATAGGTGATGGTGGGAATGACTTGTGCCCTGTGATGTTTCTGAAGAAGGGTGATGTTGCTATGCCCAGGCATGGGTATACCCTAGAGAAAAAGATTTCTCAGCTCTCTCGAGATTTTTGTCCCATAGAGTGTTCTGTTCTGGTTTGGTCATCTGCTGTTGAAATTATGTCTTATCTGAAGCTGCTTATAAAAGAACATTTGAAGTGATAAAAGGAAACTGATTTATCCTTTTTTCTTCCTGGGTGAGAAATGCTCACATGGAAACACGATATTATGGAACTGGGATATTAGCTGAACTTATGTTGTTCAAACATAATATAAAATTGTATTTTCAGTTTTCTCAGTAATGGGAAAGTGATGTTAAAATGGCTTTCAGGTGTAGTGTGCATTCTGACCTTTGTGGAGAAGTGTGCGTGTGAGGGGGAGGGGGCTGCGTGAGGAATTGCCAATTCCTTTTGTCTTCTCCATCCTGAGCCTTTACCAGCAACCAAAGTGATGTTCCATGTGCTGTGGGGAAGGAGTAAGATTAGTGCACAAAAGAATAATTATTTTAAAGAATTTATATGCTTTACTTACCAGGAAGGTGATTCTGGAACTTCTGGCTTTGAATACTTTTTTTAAAATTGGGGATAAATGTTTAATTTGTAAATGATTTGGTATGTCTCTAATCCTGTTTGATCTGAAGATGCATTTATATTTTTAATATACTGAATATTTTACCAAACTAAATTCCTTTTTAATAGTTTAAAGACAATAAAGACAATAGTTTAAAGACAATAAAATAGATAATAGTTTAAAGACAATAAAAATTACAGTCACTGAGAAGAGCAGTGCCTGATTTTGTAAGGTATTCTGTAGTGCATTCCGTTCCTGTAAGGGCCTGGAGTGGCTTAAGACAAGTGTGGGTGTCAGTCTGCAGAATACCAGTCTTTTGGTCAGCTCTCTCTTGAAGCACAGGAGGAATGTTGTCACTTTGCATTGTTGCCACTCGGTACAGAGCCTGTGCTGTCAGCTGGGACTCAGCCTGCTGCTTTTTCTGCTGCCCACAGAATGCTGTGTGTGTCCCTATGCGTTCTTGTACCAGTTTCACTTGTTCACTCTTGTCTATGTGCATCCTGTAATCCTCTTCTACAAGCTGAAAAGGAACATCTGTGTCTGTTTTAACTGTGTAACAAAATTTGCCTGTGTTTGAATAAGGAATCATTTGTGAGCATGTAGTGAGCATGTTTCTCGCTCGTGGTGAGACGAACCATAAGACTTGTACTATGCACACAGAGGCACTTCAGTCTCATTAAAGTTGAATATCTGTCTTCATGCCAAATGTTTGCTTTCTGACAGTCTCCCCAGAGGTCCCAAGTTGTGCTAAAGTCTGCTATTGAACTGTTGTCTGTTTTAGCTTTTATATGCCTTAGCTTAGAATTCTGCCTAACCTGCAGTGGTATGGCTGCGAGTGTCAGATATGTGGCTCAGCAGCCTGCAGCTGATGTAGATGCCTTCTGCATTGTCTTTGGGTGTTGTTTTCATTTTCTTACTGGCATTTAATGTTGTTATTACTCACTTTTTTTTTTTTTTTTTTTTTTTTTCTTTTTTTTAAGTTGAGAGTTTTTAAGAATGGTTTCCCGTTTTAGGTCCAGTAATGTATAAATGAAGATTTTCTTCAAGTAATGCTTTGTAAATAGTCTGGCTTTTAGCTCTTCATCTGTTTTAACTAATTACAGAAGGTTGCTTTGAACAGTTTGTTGACTGAGGTGGTCCAGATGATACATACAGGTTCTCAGGAGCATGGCTTTAATGATGGGTAGTTGATAGCTGTCTGAGTTGTACTGGGGAGTTTGCCCTGTTGTGTTGTGCACGGGCACAGAGACAGCATCTCACTAACTGAAGGTTTCACGCTGTTTGAGTTTGCTGATTTGTAGCCTGTACGAGAAATAGTGATAAACGTTGTGTGGTGTTGTGTGGTATTGCATGTTTTTTTGGTGATTTTTTTTTTTTTTTTTTTTTTTTTTTTTTTCCCCTACAAAGTCGTGCATCTCCTTCATTCTAGGTATGCTGCTAAGGGTTGCAGATATTGTGCTTTCCATATCTTGGTTGTAAAGCAGCTTGCTTTCAGCTTGTCCCCAGATCTCACTGCTTATTTAAAAAACAAAGTGCAAACCCAACCACCTGGTATATAAATAAGTACTCATCTTTCACTTCCACTTACGTTTGTTATTCTTTTAGCCTTAGAAACTTCATGTTGTAGTTCACTCTGTTGCTGATTCCTTCAGCAAGAAATCCACCTTCATACCAAAATAAATTTTTTGGTTGTTTTTAAGAGTAGAGAAGCAGGAAATGAGAAGAAATGAAGCAAGTAATTGAAAAGATTTGCAATTATGATCCAATCACTTCTAGTAGAGTGTAGAGCCAATGCTATTTTCTGGGCAAAGTGCATATTGGAGACAGAAAGAACTTGTCCATTCCGGTAGGTAAGCCATTAAGCAATTAATGAGGTCCTCCCCCTCTGCCCTCCCTGCTCCCATGTTAATAAAAGAGATCACTTTTCTATAGCGCCACAGTTACCAAACTTTTCCACTTTTGAGTATAAGGGGGGGAGATGAGTATCTCCAGATTGTGAAGTCAGCTTTAGCTGGTAGCAGCCAGGAAGGCAAGGAGAGGGCAGAGCAGGTCCTTGACGGGATGCTGGTTCAGTGTAGGTTGTTACTGACGTGACTGCTGGCTGTTTAAACAACGTGCTCTGTGGAAGGAAGGTGTCAACTTCTGAGGAAGTGCTGAGATGTTACAGAATATGTAATGGGAGGCTCTTGAGTATATGGAAATTTTCTGTATGGTAACAGGCCTGCTACCACACACCAGTTAGTATGGGGAGTACTGAGCTGAAATCCTATACCCTGACCTTATATGCTAGGAGGCTGGCCAAGAGCTGGGAGAAGTTCCTGCTTATCCATAGGCAGCTGGTGAAATGGAAAGTGAAAAACAGCAGCAAAACAAACTTGTTGGCATGGGGACGTATAAACAGAGTCGGGACCCTACATGGGAATGCTCCAGAGAAAGAAGAGGAGTGAGCAATGTAGTTGTGGTACAGCCACTGGTGAGAGCAGCTGGGCTGCAGTAATTTTTAGGCTGCACCACATCACGTAACTCAGATTTCTTGGGCTGACAATACATCAAAAGTGGCTGAAAAAAACTGAAGGCAAAGATATGTGAAGAATTTGTGAGGTATTTTTGGATCAGCTTGTTCACATCTTGTGCTGTTACATAAAGGCTAACGGAAAGTGTGAGTCCTATTGCACAATTTGTGTGTGAAGAGGGATGCAGTGGGATGTCCATATACACCTTCCCACTCAGATTCCTTCTTTAATTCACACTTCAGTGGGAACTAGGGAGGAAGTACCACTGGTAATTAAAAGAAGAAAGAAATAAAAAAAAGCTTATTAATCTGTACAGAGCAGGAACTCTCCTAATTTCTTCTTTTAGGGTGTGCAGGCACTTTGCTAAACCTAGCAAATGCTTGCCTTTCTTTGGTGAAGGGGTCCTGGACAGCCCTTTCAGCCCAGGAGGGCACTGGCAGAGCAGTCAGAGCCCGGCTGCGGGTCCGAAGGTCCAATTCCCACTGGGGGGAGCACAACCACCTTAAGCTCGTTGTGCTTCATTTACATGTAGGGATCCCTGTATCTGTAGGAAATGTGCCAGCAGAGAAGAGAAACTGTGAACCTCATTTTCAGAAGGAGTGACAGCCATATAAACTTCATCCTGGGCAATTTGCCTGTAAGTTGGAGTCAGCACAGTCTTGGGAGTGCATTAGCCAGCACGCTTTGTGACTGTCATTTATGCTCTGCAAACACTCAGGTGTCTGAGGAGGGCTCAGCCCTCCTCCACCTTATCTCCTCTTTAGGGGATCCCTTCTCCACATTGCTCCTTACAGGCTGTCAGAGGCACTCTGGCTTTGTTGCGTGGCCGTGTGCCACTGGCTTGGTGACGCTCCCGGAGCATCTGTCCCTAATAGGGCTGACAGCCGCGGGGCCGTATTTCATCGCTGCCATAAGCCTTCCCCCCCTCCCTGGGGGCTGTGGAGCTGCGGGGCAGCGGCAGCAGAGACTCAGGCCGGCGTCTCCCCGCCCTTCAGCTGGGGGCTGCTGACCCTGTGGAGGGGCCCCCACCGGGTGAGTACCAGGGCTGCGGGTGTCTTTGTGCAGTGGAAACGATGGCCCTGCCTGGGCAGGAGGACTACGTGTTCGCCTACCGCGACTCATCGCACCCTGCGTGCCTGCTGGACGCGTTCCGGGCGTTCTACCTAGATGGGTTATTCACTGACATCGCGCTTCAGGCCGCTTCGGGGGTCCTGCTGCATTGCCACAGAGCCGTCCTGGCGGCTTGCAGCTGTTATTTCAGAGCCATGTTCACAGCCGATATGAAAGAGAAATCTAAAAACCAGATCAGGCTTCCTGAGCTCAGCCACGCCGTGCTGGAAGCCCTCGTGAATTATGCGTACACCTCCCAGATCCAAATAACAAAGAGAAACGTGCAAAGCCTGCTGCAGGCGGCTGATCTCCTCCAGTTTGTCTCAGTTAAGAGAGCCTGTGAGCAGTTTCTGGTCAGGCACCTGGATGCTGACAACTGCCTTGGGATGCATGCTTTTGCTGAGCACCACAGTTGTCTGGAACTGGAAAAGGAGTCCCGGAGGATGTTGCTGTGGCAGTTTGAAGAAGTGTGGAAGCAGGAGGAGTTCCTGGATGTTAGCAAGGAGAAGCTGGCTTTCATCCTCTCCAGAGAGAACCTCAATGTCTGGAAAGAAGAGGCAGCTGTCGGAGCTGTTGTTAGGTGGGTTGCGCACAATGTAGAGGAAAGAATTGAAGACATCTATGAACTGCTGAGCTGCATCAAACTAGACCTAGATAACATGTATTTGAGGTCAGCTTTAAGCCTGCAAAAAAAATGCCGACTTAATGATAATAAGATAAGGTCCCTCGTGTACAGGGCCCTAAACCCCAGTCCCAAAGGCCTTTCCAAAAGACCAACGGCCACCATGTGTGTGGTTGGAGGATATTATTGGCATCCCTTATCAGAAGTGCATGTTTGGGATCCTTTAACTAACGCATGGCTCCCAGGAGCAGAAATGCCGGATCACACTCGAGAGAGCTATGGGGTCACAAGCCTGGGGCCAGACATATATGTGACAGGAGGCTACAGAACAGAGAGCATCGAAGCCCTGGATACTGTGTGGATATATAACAGTGAACGGGATGAGTGGGCACAGGGCTGCCCCATGCTTGATGCGAGATACTACCACTGTGCAGTGTCCCTGAGCGGCTGCATCTACGCACTGGGTGGCTACCGGAAGGGAGCTCCGGTGCAAGAAGCTGAGTTCTATGATCCCTTGAAAAAGAAATGGGTTCCTATTGCAAACATGATCAAAGGTATGTAAGCTCTCATGAGGCATCAGCCTCAATGTCAGTCCTCTTGTGTTTGCCACTGAGAAGTGCCACAGATACATTCAGGCCTAGAGCCTAGTCGAGTTCAGAGGGATCGTCCCATTGATGTCAGGAGGCTTTGGTTCAGGTCTGTGTGGGCCAAGCTGCTACAAACACCCAATGGCTGCACTGCGCTGTGCCGTCGGGCACAGAGTGGACAAGCAAATGGCAGTGCCATTTAAGTCTGTCTTCCTTCACGAGATAAATTTCTATTTGAGTTGAAAAGAAGTTAGAACGCT